TGTGTGTTTTTTTTAATTAAACATATAATTTTACTCTGTGATTATCTTTAACCTCTGTAATTTTGCTACTAGTATTGTTAACCTCTAAGTATGCAGATAGCTACACTCCATGGTCCTTTTTTCATTTGTAAGGTGTATATTTCATACTCCCTCCGTTCCTTATTATAAGAGACATTTGATACTTATGGTATGTTTCTATTTATAAGAGACATTTAAAAGTTGTCTCTATTTTTTTTATGTTGATTTCCTATTTTACCTATATTTATTGTCTCCAACTCACACTCTTTCTCCTTTCCATTTCTCTTTCTTTTAATAATTTATCATTGTTCTCTCTCATGTTCTCTCTCCTTATTAATGAGGGTATTTTTGGAAAAAAATTATACTTTTTACATATTAATTGTTCTTAACTAATTTTAACTATTTTTTTATTAACATAATTCGGTTATTCGTCTCTTATAATAAGGAATGGAGGGAGTACTATTTAAGGGGATGTTTGGTAACTCTCAAAAGTGCTTTTTAAAAAATACTTTTCCGTAAAACAAGATAAACTTCCTTACATATTTATTTCGTAAACTGTAAAAATACTTTTAAAACAATAGTTTGATTTTTATTCAAATACTCCCAAGCATGTTTATGTAAACTGAGATAAAATCTTTCGGCATACCGCACTTTGTATCTTATAAATTATAATTAAAAAGACTATGACTCCAAACAAATACTAGTGCTGAGAATAATTGGTACTCCTTCCATCCTAAATACAAAACCCTTATACTAGGATATATAAACATTTTATATTTAAGACTGGAGGATTATATCTCTTTTAACCGGGTTACCTGTTACTATATGCACAAGCGTTGAAATTCCAACTATTAAAGTGACCGAAAAAGACCTCCACCAGTCACATCAACCGAGATTGGTATCTCTTGGCATTCGGCATCTAACAAATTTGATTTTAAAATATTATTATACGTTAATATTAATTTCTTAAAAAAAATTTGTTTTAATTAATATATCATGTAGAGTAAAATATATAATCTATTTTAGCAAATTTTGTGCAAGTTTTTCAACTCCTTCCCGTCTATCCAAAATTTGCAAGTGGGATTGAACCACAAGTTGAATCAAGGGAAAACAGGAGTCTATATAAGGTATTCCCTTCCGTGATAATTATAAAGTAAAATTAAATAACTTCATGATTTGTAAGAAATGATGATTGATATTTTTAACTTTTTTACAAAATGTGAGTTTTCAATTTCGTCTTTCACTAAAGACCATAATAAAATACTCTTTTTCATCCTATTTATATGCTTTAATTTTGGAGAGGTGCGTAATCCATTTTATAAGTATTAATTTGGATTTGTCTTAATATTTAATAAATTTTAAAGTTTTTTTCTTAATTATTTATTGTCTTTCATTTGTTATATTTTCTCTTATCACATTTTCACCCATTCTTTTGTATCTTTTTTCTCATTTATTATAAGGGTATATTTGAAAATAAAAATATATTTCTAACATGTTTATTATTTTTAAGTAATTTCAGCTAATCATTCGTTATTTGTGAATTAGTTATTTAAAGTTTATAAACACTAGAGGAAGTATTGTCTAGCAATTAAAAATATGACAACAGCTCACAATAAAAGAGGGGTCGATTTTAATTCCCACGTTTTTACTATATATATACTTAAGATCACATAAGATTTTAAAATTTTACTGCAAAATTATAAAAGAATGAGGTATGTTAGTCAGTATACAACTAAAAATATTAGTACTCTTCTTATCTATAATATAAAAGTTATTTAACTAATTTAAGTAAATTAAGAAAACTAAATAAATTAGTTAATTATAAGTAACAAATGTGAAATGATTTCTTTTAAATATCTCTATGTGATATTAGATTATATATTAGTATATATGTTCGTTAAATTAGTTTGAAAAAATAATAACTATAAGATACAAAATAGATTAAGATTTTACATTTAAGATTAGAACCAACTCCTTAATGGGTACCCATTGAGTGCTCATTAATCATCATAGCTATAAATAATGTGTGCTCATTATTATGATAAAATTTCAACCATATAAAATTTGATTTGAACGATCCAAATTTAAAATTTTAATATGTAAATTTTTTATAATAAATTGATCTTTTGAGAATTGTGAATTATAAAATTATCTTTATTTTGAATTCTATATTTATTAGAATAAAAATTATTTAAAATATAATAAAAGTTTGAATTAAATTTGGACAATCCAAAATCAATTAGGATAATCCAAATTACAATAATCATTTTATGCTCAACGTCTAGGATCAGAGGAGTATTAAGTTGTTTTCCTCCTAGAATCTCATCTCTATTATTGGATCAGAAAATAAATAGTTTAGATTTAATATTTTAAGACAAGATATCCATCCTCTTTTATTTTTTTTATGCAATATCATAATAATAGTTTTATGAAATATTAAATCTGAACCATTTATTTTTCAATTCAATAGTGGATATGAGATCCTAAGAAGAAAAGAAGAAAAAGGGTCATGAAAGGATCTGCTTCCATTAATTTAAGAGTAAAGATGTAATTTTGCCTCTGATTTTATTTTTCGAGTGCACCCTGCATCCCGATCTTTTTAATGGTTTAATTTTACCCATAATTTTTTTGCCACGATATAGATCAAGGATAAAATTGTACAAAAAAAGCATTATACGTAAAATTGCATCACTAAAAAATTGAGGTGCTAAGTGCATCTGAAAAATAAAATTAGAAATAAAATTGCATATTTTCCCTTAATTTAATTATAATCAATACTCCCTCTTGTCTCTATTATAAAGAATAGCTTGAAAAGAATTTTTAGTCCTAAACATAAGTCGTCATCTAACTCATTAATTGCTATTTTTCAATTTTACCCTTATTATTAAGTTGAGTGTTTACTCTATATTCGTCTAATTCTATTTATAAATCACTTTCAATATGTTTTACACAGATTAAGAAAAATTTTATATTTCATTAACTCTTATTTAAAATTTAACAATTTTCTAACTTTATACTTATTTAATATATATTATTTTTCATGTCAATAAAGTCAACACAATCATAAATGGAGAATAAAATTGTATATCAATATAAAAAATTTCTTTCAATGCCCTATAAATAAGACCAAACAATATTTTCTCTCTCTACATTATAAATATGAGCAAATAAGTACTTTATATGCTCATCAAATTTCGTGTTTCTCTATCTCCATTATTTAAGGTGGGGGCCATTTTGAAAAATTACTCATTTTATCTTTTTTTATAAGTAACAACTATTATTTTTCTCTTGTTCCTAAATATAAACAATATTTACAAGTTGTCTTAAATTTTTTGCAGCAACTTTCCTATTTTACCTCATTAATTAATTATTTTAATACTCAATATATTTATTATCTCATTTTTCAAATCACCATATCTCTCCATTCACATTTTCTCTCTTTTATAATTTTCTTATTCTTTCTTATAGTCTCTCTCCTTTATAATAAGGGTATTTTGAAGAAAGAACTTTTAATTTTTAATTATTTATTATTTTTAACTAACTTTTTAGTCTAAGTAATGAAATCTAAGATTACTTATAAAAAAGAACGGAGGAGGGAGTATTAATTTGGGACAAATTTAATGATTTAATTTTCATTCTTTGTTTCATTTCTTAATTCTTGGCATAACAAAGAGCAGAGAAAGTATAATTAAGTTGAAATACGGGCCCCTCGTGAATCAATGGACAGTCCGAATTTTAGTGCCTTTTGATGACACTAATAAACTTCCGTTTGGTTCATTGGGGTAAACAAAGTGATTCATGAGGCTTTGCATTTAAAATCTTGGTCCCCCGTGGCATCCAATTCCCACGTGTTTCATGAGACAAGATTCGAGGCTCTAACACGGCGCCACGTGGACAACCAGCTCATGGTAACATCATTTTGCCGGCGAAATGAGAGGAAGAAAAGAAAACAAAAGTGAATATTCTACCTACGACGCATTAACAAAATCTTCCTTTTTTCCCATTGAAGGAAGAAGAAAGGAAAAAACAGAGTGTAATTCCTGGTAAGAATCCAAAAACAGAGGAAGAGACTTGAGAATAGATAGATTGAGCCACAGAGGCATTGAATATGAGAGAATGAAGAAGAGTGACAACCATGTAGGATCCGAAGACAACGGAGTTTGGTGAACTTGTGCAATCTTTTTTTGTCTCTATCGCTATCCGATTTGAGCAAAAACTTTTCGTTCTTCTTCTATATTTTTTCTCAATTTTCCCCCTCCAAACCAAACCACACAGGTCGAAAAAGAGCAACTCATACACGAGGAATCGGAGTTCCTTTCTGGGAACGAGGTTCCTCATTCATGCTGAAACTTTCCCTCAGGTCCTTCTTTCTCTTCTGTCTCTCCCCTTCCTCTGTTCATCATGAATCAGAAAGACGCTTTTGCCATCTCCTTGTTTCTTGTGGTCCAATTTTTCTTCATGCATGTGTTGTACTCGATGATATGTCTTTGAAGCTGTCTCATTATTTTATACTTTCAGTTGATTTTAGTATCTCATGAGATGCTCATAATGCTTGTATGGTGTTCCCATTGATCAAACATTAAAGCCCAGAATGGCCCACTTCTTCTGTTAAGTATTTCTGTGTTAAGGAATCTGGAACAGCATCATCTTCTCCACTTTTGACCCCATGTGTTTGATTTTTCACTGTTCAAAACAAGGATTCTCTGCCAGCCGAATACATGTATGAAATGGATAGTTTTCATGTATTATTATTATTATTATTACTGCTTTTCCCATTGCTGATATGATTGATCATTGAAGTTGGGCCTACCTGTTGACGCCGTTCAACCCAGAATTTTCAAACTGGCTTTTATTAAAATGCGTCAATATTTTAAACCTTTTAAAGAACTTGTGATTTTTTTAATAACTTAATTATTGCCTTCAGGGTTTCTTCGTAGTTGGTGGTGTACATAAATGGCCTTGATTAGATGAACAGGAAGGTATTGAACACCATCGGCTATGGATCTTGGATCAAGGGACGATGCTTCTCTCTGGAATGTGCTTCTTCGAGTTACAGGTACGTGCTCAATTTGAGAAATAGGATATAGGAGAAAAAAAGAGAGAGAGGGTTCGTGTGTAACGTTTGCACATGAAATCTGGGGAAAGAAAGCTCACCAAAGTTGTTTCCAGTAGCCTAGGAAAAACCAGAATATCCTTTACCTGTTAGTTTCTTCCACTGGTATGTTCATTTAGAATCAGCAAGTTTAAGGGCAACAGATATTAGATAATGTATATTAATCTACATTTTGAATCATTACCTAATTGTATGGGGAAATAATTATAAAGAACAAAAGATTTGGAATTCAGCCATTTAACTTCGTTTTGGTCAATTCTTCTGCATTTCCTTTTCTTGATGAAAATTCCATTGTTGGCAACCTGACATGGTTGGTAGGTCCTTGCTTCTTTGGGAGGTTACAGACACAGTGCCTGCTATTTCAATTGAATTGAAACCATACATGAACAAAAGTAATTTGATGTTAGCAGTTGTGAAAAAAGTAGTTTCAATGGGGGGTTGTGCCTCACAATCAAAAAGGAAGGGCAAAACTCATGGGAGAAACAGGCACAAACATGCCAATGTCCGAGGAAAAATACCCGCTGGCGTTGCTGATATGTCCTTGAAAAGACTCAGCAATGCTGGAAATCATGTTGGCGATTTTTCTCTCGGTGATTTTGTTCACTTGGACTTTGACAAGGGCCGGAGGTCTGAGGTTTCCAACATGACATTTCATCTCACCCAACTACAATATCACGGTCATAACCAATCCGATGGAAATGGTATCCTCTCTCTCTCTCTCTCTCTCTCTCTCACACACACACACACACACACACACACAGAGTTCTTGGATGCCAATGATCTGGGGATAAATGCTATCGGACAGAAAGAGAGTTTGTAGTGAGCAATCTGTCGTGCATCTTGTCATATCCTTTGGTTACATATTTTTTATAGTCCTTTTGTTATGGCATTGGGGCTTTTGATTTCCTTGGGCTGAGAGAGTTACCTTGTATGATCATGCTGAGCACTGTATGTCTTTCAGGATCGTGCCAAGAGGAAGCATGGTTTGACTCAGTCAGCATGATTGAATCTGATTCAGATGATGACTTCATCAGTGTGCATGGAGGTAATGCACTTATGTATTATTTTATCTGTCCATGATTTAAGATTTGTGACAATCTTTCTGATTCAAATTCTGTGACCGACAGATTGCTTTCCTTTTGTGGGTAATACTTTGGGGAGTACCCCTAATACTCAGCTACTCCAATATGAAAGTGCATCATGCTTTGGAAACTCAGGCTGTAATACATATGAAGGGTTCTATGAAAGTTATCTCAAAATAGATGGGGGCAACTATAAGAATGAAGAGAAGATCCAAGAAAAGAACTCAAAGCCTTGCTTGCCTGTTCTAATTCCTTCAGTCAATTTTAATGACATGAATCATTCCCCAGCGAGTCCTCAAACATCACACATAACGCAATCAACAGTTATCATGGTTTCGGTCACAAGAAAATCCGTTGATGGGAATGCAAAGACTGGATCACGTGAGTACAGAAATTATTTTTTGGGAAGAAGAAAAGGTTTCTTGGTTTCCAGTTACTGATTTTAGATAAATTTTCCAAATAGATATCTAGATCAGTCAGTGTTATGATATTAAATGAGTGGATGAGCAGGTGCATCTGAGAGATTACTTTACCATCCCAGAGCAGGGTTTCGAATTCAGTGTTCAGCTCTAGAGAAGCCATTGCCTGGATCCTGGTCCACAATCTCGCCCTCAGTATTTAGGCTCCGGGGGAAGAATTTTTTTAGGCATGTCAGAAAATTTTCTGTCAAATTTTACTCAATTGTTTACGACCACAATATCTAGTAGTAAGTATAATTGACACTATTTTGTTTCCTTAGAAGCTAGGGTTTATATATTCAATTAATTATGCAGTGATAAGCAAAAGTGTCCAGCTCCAACTTGTAGCGCTTATATACCAATAGGTGTGGATTTGTTTGTTTGCCCAAAGAAGATCAATCACATTGCTCAGCATCTTGAACTTCCATCTATCAAAGGGCATGAGAAAGTTCCGTCACTTCTTATTGTTAATATACAGGTTTGATTTTCAAACTCAAAATTATATGCTTTCACCTTTATGCTAGTAAACTGTACCTTGTCCTTTGATGAAGCCTATCCGCCTATGAATGTTATTTTTCTGTTAAAAAAAATCCTGAAGGAATGTCTATAATTATTTTATCTTTGTATCAGTTGCCAACATACCCTGCCTCTATGTTCAGTGATGGAGATGGTGAAGGCATGAGTCTTGTATTATATTTCAAAGTATCTGATAATTTCAGCAAAGATATCTCTTCTCACTTTCAGGATAGTATCAAGGTATGTCCCCTCATCCATGGCTACTCTATAGAACTTTTAAAAATCTTTAAGATGACACTTCCAAATGTGATGTGCACATGCTCCTTGGCTTTTGGAAACTGAAATATCAATTTGGCTTCTTCTTGAGCATCTGTTTAATTAGATAACTGTATTGGTTGTATCAGAGGCTAGTGGATGGTGAGATGGAGAAGGTGAAGGGGTTTACGAGAGAAACTGAGGTTTCCTATAGGGAAAGACTGAAAATTTTGGCTGAGGTGGTTAATCCAGAGGACCTTCAATTGAGCTCAACAGAGAAGAAGCTTATAAATGCCTACAATGGCAAGCCAGTGCTTTCACGCCCTCAACACATTTTCTTTAAGGTATATAAACATCATGTTATAAAATTCTTGACTAATCATCAGATTAAAGACTGTTGGAATTGGGAAATTTTTAAACTTAGCATATTCTACTCACTTGAATTTAACTTTTTAACTCATCATGATTTTGATGTTTTTGTATACAACTTGGTTATCATTTCAAATGTTTTGCTATAATAAGGTGACCTTCGAATCTATCCCTGCCCTTCATTGGTTTAGTTATTGAACGCCTGGAATATATTTCAAATTAGATCCTCTACGTTCATATATTCAGAGTGTGTTATAATAGAACATAATTTTATATGGGGTCCACATTCCATTTCTACATTCACAATCTCTTCTCTTTCTCTCTTTAAATGCATTATATAATTTCGTTGTTGTGAATATATTTGTGTGAAAGCATGCCAAAAAACATTTCTGTTGGGTTGTTTAACAAAACACCTTTTTTGGAGAGCAAAGTGTTGTTTATATATGCTTTTCTCCTATAATAGTATCATGCTCATATTAATACGGCACAATTCTTTCACATTCCACCTCAACTAGTTTTAAATTTAATACAGTAAGATTCTATCCATATTAATTGCAGGGACCTAACTATTTTGAAATTGACCTGGACATTCATCGGTTTAGCTACATATCCAGGAAAGGGCTTGATTCACTGCGAGATCGTGTACATAATGGAATACTTAATGTGGGCTTAACTATCCAGGTAAGGCATACTTTGACCACTTTAAGCTTAACGCTTCTGATATCAAGTTGATCAAGCAATTTTGCCTTCAATTATACTGATGAAATCAATGCTATTTAATACAAATGCTAGCATATATCATAATCAGAAAGACAGGATTAGTCATCCTTCCCTGTTCCCTCAGCATGTTATCTAGTATCTCATATTTATAAAATTAAACTAAATGAATCAATGGAATATTACCTGGAAATCATTTTTCAATCTTTTCTATCAATACCAAATTGAATCAACTGGAAAGCTAACTGAGAATGTAAATTCTTAGGGAAAACCAATCTATGAAAAGTTGACCGGTCAAGCTGATTCTATGTATATAATATCAGAGGGTTAGAGACACTAGTAATGCTAGTAGATAAAAGGGAGAATGACTTCGATCTCGAAACATTTTGAAAGAAGATGAGTTGGAAATATTCATTCAGATAGCTGCAAATAAGAATTGTCGGTGCAAATCACTGGGAGTTACTGTCATTCTCCCCAAATAAAAAGGTAATAAAAAGCACCACTATACCAACTTAGTTTGACGTAGTAGAGGCTCATATCCCTTAAATAAAAAGTTGTAAATTTGATTCCCATCCCTTGTGTATAGAGCATATCTAGTTATGAAAATGCAGTCCTTTGCAATACCCTAAGGGAGATTCATCTTTCTTGTTGGTATAGGATACTCTTGGCCGTGATGAACTGAAGGAAAAACTGCCATGTTATGATAATGATAGTATAATACTTCTTCGGTCCTAAATGTAGGAGTTGGTTAGAAATTTAGTTGTGGTCTTAAATGTGAGACCTTATTTCATTTTTATCTTTCGTGTTTATCATTTTCTCCCAAACTAATTTATTTAACTCATAAATTGATGTATAATCTAATGTTATATTAGGTATTTTAGGAAGATTGTGTCCATTTGTTAGAATTAAGTAATCTATTTAGCTTCTTTAATGTAACCAAATTAGTTAAATAACTTTTATATCAAGGATTAGAGGAGTAAATATGTAAATATTGATTTCTATGGCCTTTGAATTCATATGCTCTGATAGGCACAAAAGCTAGAGGAACTACCAGAACAAGTCTTGTGCTGCTTGCGGTTGAATAAGATCGACTTTGTTAACAGAGGTCAAATTCCCACCATTGTAACTTAATTTGAAATTTGATTGGAACAACAGCCAGTTGATGCAGAAAAAACCAATGAAAAATGCATTGAGAGGAACACCCTCTGTGAAGAATGGCTGCTCGGTTCAGTCAAAAAAAGAATGGCTGCTCAATCTGTGTGATGACTCTGATCACTTTGGGAAAGAGGTAGAAGAGATGCAAATTTGGGAGGGGAAAAAAGGTGACAAGAAGAAACATAATAAGCATTCTGTGAAATGCAATATTGAATTTCTTTACTACATTTCAAGGAGCATTAATTGAAAAGGGATGATTCTTTTTGGTTTTTTTAGTTACAGAAAGTGAACATAATGTATTATACAGAGTTTGAGAAATGAGCCTCACTATCCAACGCTTTTGAACAATGTACCCTGCTGTGAACTTTATACACACACACACACACACCACACACTTTTATTGATAAATTGATTTATTATTGTGGTTCTTTTTTCTTTTTAAAGTTGAAGTTGCCGCTTCTCTTGAGGGAAAATGATATTACTTACTAAATTAAAGCTTATTTGTTTCTTCTTGGATTCATAATATTTCATTTTCAAATATTGAGGAGTTTGTCTTGTTTTGCATAAAATACTTTTTTTAAATACTTTTGTCTTCTATGTTTAAGTTAGAACAACTCATGCAAAATATGGATTGTGATTATATTCTAGGACACTTGAAAAGGTTTGCTCATATGTGGTGTAATATAACAAGAACGAGTATCTCTAAGATTCAAGGACAAGCCAAGAGTTAATCAAGGCAGATATTTATGTGTGTGTGTATATATCTTAATGCCTCCATTATCAATTAAAATAATATGTAGGCTATATATACTAAACAAATTTTATGTATATTTTACAAGTAAAAATGAACATATAATCAATATTATAATTAATATATCCATGTCTAAATATCCATATGTTTATATATAATATAAATTTTATTATAAGTTATACTATTTATGAACTATGAACAGAACACCTTATCTTAGACATTGTGCGAAGTATAAACCAAATAAAAAAGATCCATAAGAATATATTACTCATAAACAATGACTAATGTGATTGGATTTAGTTTTTGTGTAAGACATATAGAAGTGTGTCTCTTTTGAATATAACCATGTAGTGAAAAATTTATATGCAATTTCTTATGTATTTAATTTAAGAGTTTTTAATAATAAGTGCACGAATATTTAATAAACATTTTATAAATAGTAATATAAATCTCTATATAATAATTTTTATACTTTTAATATCATTTTGCTTTTTCCTAAAAAAATTTAAAAATTCCAATTTTCTGTAAAAAAATAAAAATGAATAGAAATTTTAAACTTATCACTATTTGCTAGTCTGCGTGTAATCTACGCTTGAAAACAAAAGGGAAAATTGCAATGGAGTTCTATGGAAGAGAGAATGCAGAAAGAGTCCCAGAAAACTTAGTAATTGCTTAGGAGTCTCAATGGGACCTGATTGCAATAATAAAAAACGTTAATAGACCCGTGTACCCATAGTAATGCAACAAAAAAATGATAAAGAGAAAGAAAAAGAACTGATTTCCTATATCTTGGAGCTCATAAGTATAAAAAAAAAAAAAAGAGATTGACAACAAAAGAACCAAAGTCCAAGCGCTTTCCATCTTCATTATCTCGGTCGATTTCAAGGTTTAAAACTTTCTTTCATCTCCTCTCCAAAAAGATTTTGGCCGATAGAGTGAGTTTGGGTATGGATATGTAGAAAATTGTTTTGCTATGTAATTGTAAAGCTCTTGTTTTTGGTCCACTGTGAACAAATTAGCAATGCAGAGTTTGCATTTTTGATTTGATATGTATTGGTGATTTAAGTTGAGGTTTTATTATGGGTGAGTAAGATGATGATAGATACTCTATTTTTGGATATATTATGGGTGGTTTGATAGCGGGTTTACTCTGTTTGAGCATGATTCAGTAGGAATAGATGAAAAAGATGAATGTTGGTGTGGGTAGAAATCCTTACTGCAGAATAGAAAAGTATATTGTCAATATAGGCCGCGATAGTTATCAATATAGACAGTGATAGTTGTCAATATTACTACTTGACTTGTTAATGACAATTGTCGTGCATGTTTTTGAGGACCAACAGGAGAGAATCACGGCTCCAAAACAAGAAGGTTTATCATTATGGAAGATGCAATGAGGTTTGACATACTGCTAAGACGTACAAGAACCCAAATTCCAATTGAGAACATGTGAAATCCTATTTTTTGTAAATGAATGTGAAAAGAATTTTTTTGTAGATAAGACAGTACATACCAACAATTAGTTCAATATTAGATGCCTGTAACCCATATGTTTTTTTAGGTGGGTTGTGAAATTAGTGTAATTATATGTATGTCAAGCTATGGAATGACCATTGGCTATGAAATGATATATTATATTCTAATGTATAATTAGTTGTAATTATCTAAACTTTTTATTGTTAATAGACACTTAATCACTTGTTACTCGTCTTGACCAAAAAAAAAAAATCACTTGTTACTCGTCGCAATATCAATTGTCAATTTATCTACTAATATAATTTTGGAAAAAAGAAGATTTGGACTTACATAGTATCATAAAAAAAAAGTATTAATCCATTTACCAAAAAAATAAATTATTAGTCCACAAGACTGTGCACATTATATGACATTATGTAATTCCAAATCACTTTTTTTTAAAACTTATATTAACAGATAAATTGATAAGTGATATTGTCACGATCGACAAGTGATAAAAGATCTTATGATTACAACTAATTACACATCAAAGTACAACATGCTATTTCATAGCCAACTATCACTCCATAGCCTGACATACATGTGATTACACTAATTTCATAACCCATCCGAAAATAACACATGGTTATATGCATCTAATACCGAACTAACTATTGATGTGTACTGTAACAACGGAACTACTACCTTTTTTTAAATTAATTAATATTGAAAAGTTAACTATGATAGAAAAGAAACTTTATAAATTATTTAAAAATACTATCATGGTTATGTAAGCATCCTAAGTCACATGAAATTAACCATAACTGAAAAGAGTTAAACCAATCTATAAATATGTCTATCATGGTTAAAAGAGCTTTTCTAAATTAATTGTCTGCGAAATGAAATTCACAATGAATAGGGTTTTGGATATTATGAACCCTGAATATCATTTTCAACCATCAGCCTATAACATGATTTTACCGAATAATACCTTTTATAACTTTCTAAAATCAAAAGTCATTTGATGTCAAAAATCATTATGGATTCACCTCTCATATCAAACAAAAGAAATCACATGCAAATACTTAGAGGCCTCCGGCCTTCTATGAGCATGCAATCTAGTAACAGTTATCAAAAGTACACTGTTAAAATAATCAATCTCAAAAATATCAGAATATGTGGAATGGGCCCTATTATGACAATATACATCTATCCAACACAATCAAAAAAAGTGGAAGTGCTGCAATTTTGTAGTAGTAGCTCAAACTTCTGGAGTCTTCCTTGTCTGACCTGAATAGGAACTATCACCTGGAAAATTGTTAAATCAATAGGGCGAGACAAAAGTCTTAGTAACCAACAATTCTACTTATCAAGTATACAAGTAAGTGCTTGTGATGTATTAAGTGAGACCATTGCAAATTCATAATATTCAAATAAATTTCATATTGTCAAAGCATATAATAAAGTACAATCAATAATCCTCTCATCTCCCTTATATCTACCCACCTTATATCCTTTGATTGAACCGATCAAGTGATATGGACCGGCCAAAATCCACAGAGCACAAGACCGGATCATAGGTTCCCCTTGTAGTCTACTAGTGGGGTGTCAAGGCCCTATAATGAGTACTTGGGCCAAAGAACCAACAGTGTACACCTGATGGCCGTATTACCTAATATCCTCAAATGTATATAATTCACCCTCTTATATCCTCTTTGGTATAGTTCCTATCATCAATATCCACCACCCTTCACATATCAATATTGAAAATGTTATATTTATAATAAATCATTAATACGTCAAAGTCAATTTGAATTTTCAATTCTCAATTAATTCATAACACATGATATCATCATAATCGTAAACACATATATATTTTGTTAAAAAAGTCTCACAAGATAGTTTCAATAATAACATAATTTCATAGCTCATATCATAATTTAATAATATTTTATAAATCCCATATAATTAAAAATAAATCACAAACAACCTACGAGTATGAATAATAAATGAAAAGTGATTATCTCTCGTCTAATATAACAAAGACTACCATGAGGTTAACTTCGTGCTCAAACAAACAATCCAATAATTTAATCTACATAGTCAATACATTTACATATTAATACACAAGCTATTTAATTAATTACTTGGCTGGTAAAAAAAAATTACTTGAGAATATATATATATATATATATGTATATATAAGTTAAAGTTTCTAATTCTATACTAAAACCCTAAACCTCTCATAACCCATAATTAAATCTTTTAGCACAAAATTAATATATCCTAACAATATAAAATTTTTATTTATCCCTTTCAAAATATTTACTTTAATGCAGATTTTTTCTCAAATTTTTAAAACCTGAAATTATCATATTTAAAATTCAAAAATCCTATTTCAAGTTTAAATTTAAAAAATAAACTATTAGAAATTCAATATATATCAAATACACTTAAGTAAATAATTTAAATGAAAAGTTCCATAGCAGAAATATCATACTTTCCACAAATATATATATTTTTAACTAAAATAATTCATTTAAAAATATTAGGTCAATCAATAAAAAAAACTAAATGAATAGAAATAATCTACTAAAAAAGTCATTTGACTTACCAAAATAATCTGTAAATATTAAAACTCTACCGGAACAAAAGGAGAGAGCGGCGCTCTAGAAGGTGAAAAGGAAAGAGGACGCCTCTCCACCCCACCTCAACGGTTAAAATAAAATTTTGGGATAAATTCTAGTTAAAGACCCTAAATTAAAATGAGACGATATTACAGTTTGAACCCATTTTTTCTATTTTCTTGCATTTTCTTTCTTTTTTTACCCGTTTTACTATTATTATTTAGTAAATTTTCTTAGAGAAAACTAATTCGGAGGTCCTTGTAATTATACTCAGTTTTGAATCAAGTCCTTGAGTTTTTTTTCCTTTTTTATTAGATCCTTTAAATTTCCACTGTTATATGTGTTACTCCCTAAACTTGAAACTGTCAAGTTAAAATTTCCACCGTTGAAAGTTAAAATTAACACAGCTGCTATTATTATTTGAACCATTATACCCATCGCAACCAGGAAGCCTTCACATATGGGCCTGGCCATGTCGGATTCCATGACTGGTGCAGCAACTCTACTTCTAAGATGGAGGTAACCATGATCGATAATGAAGTGAACGACGGTTTGGAGGATTTCTGGAGACTTAGACTGGTGATCCTCCTGACGGCGACAATGGAGGATCTCACCAGAGTCAATAGCCGCCAAGATCGTATTATGATGACATTGGTTTGGAAAATGTAATAGCACATAAAGTTCGCCCACCTTACCGCCTATCACGCTCACTTCTCGTTTCACCAATGCAAGAAGAGATATAATAATGCAGGCTCCACTCCGATGAGACATTTTGGGGAAGGAGAAATGGATGAGTTATATGCATTTCTTTCTCATTTGTTGAGGACGATGTCAATAACTAAACAAAATTTGACTTGGGTTGCTATAGTGATTAAAAGTTCTTATATGGATATGATCTCAAAGTAGCACTCTACGCCGAAACACAGGAATAATTTGGTTCATGCACTGGTTTCTCAAGATATCTTATTGATTCAATCAGTGTCATCCAAAATGACTTGGGTGTGAATTAGGTATATTTTCTGGGATATTTGATTAAAAGGCCTTGTGGATAATTTCTAGATAGCATCCACCAGATTTAATGGTAGGGGAAGGAGATGATATTAGGGAAGGAAAAAAGGAGAGAGAGAGCTTGGGGGTTACAGAATTACGGTGAAAGGAGATTGAAGAAGAAGATGATTTAGACTTTTAACGAAACTTTTAACAGTACTAGTTTTAATTAACAGTTTTAGGTTTTAGGGAGTAATGGATCTAACGGTGGAAACTTAAAGGATCCAATAAAAAAGAAAGAAAGTTTAGGGACTTGATTCAAAATTGAGTATAATTATAAGGACCTACATATTAGTTTTCCCATTTTCTTATATGTGTACTTTATAAATCTTATTTTCAGAAATTCTCTTTTCTTAAATAATTAGAGAATAAAATTTATTTATTAAGTATTAAACTCCTTCTAATGTTATTTAAATATTAGGAACAAAACTATGATATTACATGTACCATTTGTTTACAGAAAATTCTCTTCACATTTAATTATAGAAATAGGTTTCCATAACATGTTCTCAATTAGAATTTGGATTCTTGCATGTCTTGGAAGTATGTCCAACCTCACTGCATCTCCCACAATAATAAACCTTCTTATTTTGAATCCAATATTCTCTCTTGTTGGTAATTGAAAACTTGCATGATAGTTATTATTAACAAGTCAAGCAGCAATATTCACAACTATCGCTGGTTACATTGACAATACATCCTTCTATTTCATAACAAATGTTTCTACTCATACCAACATTTATCTTTTTCATCCATTCCTACTGAACCATACCCAGATAGAGCAAATCCACTATCAACCCACTCATAATATACTCAAAAACAGAGTACCCATCATCATCGTACCCACCCATAATAAAATTCCAACTTCAATCACTAAACCACACCAAATCAAAAATGACAAGCTTTGCATTACTTAAATGCGCTAGTTAAATGGTAGAACGATTTGCTACATACCCATACCCAAATCCAATATGTTAGTTAAATGGTAGAATGATTTGCTACATACCCATACCCAAATCCAATATGTTAACCAAAATCTTCTTTGAGAGGAGAGGAGAAAGTTTTGAACTTCGAAATCGACCGAGACAATAAAGACAGAAAGCGCTTGGATTTTGATTCTTTTGTTGTCAATCTCTTCTTTCTTATGCTTAGGAGCTCAAAGATATAGGAAATCAGTTTTTCTTTTTTCTCTTCATTTTTTTTGTCTGCCTTACTAGTGGTACAAGGGTCTATTCACCTTTTTCATTATTGTAATCAGGTCCCATTGGGACTCTAAACAATTAAGTTTTCAAGGATTTTTTTTTGCTGTATTTTCCTTTTTTGGGTCCTGGTGCAATTTTCCCAAAAATTAATGGCACTGATTTTTGATTCCGGTCGAGCCAAAAAAAAAAAAGAAGCTTTTTTGATTCCGTTCTTCTGACTTTTTTTGAACCGCCCTCGTCAGCACAATCTGCCTGTTTGGTCAACTTCGGAGTAGATTGTGTCGTGGACAAGCCTTCAACAGAATGGAGGGATATGAGAGTGAGAAGCAAACTGAGCAGCACGATGCCGCAAGCAAAGCCAATCTTCACTTCACTCAACCAATCCGTTGTATAGTAAAACTTGGTGGGTCTGATTTTTTTTTCTTCCTCTCTTTCCTCATTGTAAAGTTCTAATCATTCTTAATTCGATCTATTTCCGAATTCGCTCTCTCGTCGGCTATTATTACTTTGATTTCCATACTTCATGTTGATGCTACTTGCATTTCCTATTTCAGAATATGCATCGTGCGTACTTGTTTTCTTTGGCTCAAAAGACTCGTAAGACTATCATCAATAATTCATAGTGGCAAAGTTTCAAGTTTGTGATAGTTGTATAAGATGGGCTCTTTATGGGATGAAAGTCAATAATGTAAAATATTCGACTTTGAGCTTAACATATAGGTCTTGGAAAGCTTTCTTTTAGTAATGTGATTTTTAATTTATGTCATTAAGGTGGAGCTGCTATCACTCGCAAAACTGAATTAGAGATGATAAATGAGGAAACTCTTCAGACGGTATCAGAACAGCTTAGGCAAGTGATGATTGCATCTTCGGCAAAGCCTCCTGGCATGGATTGGAGCAAGAGAACTGGAAAACCAGACATTTCTTGTAACCCTGAAGAGTTCGGCGACCATTCACTTCTTGACTGTAGGCGCTTCATTGTTGTTCATGGAGCAGGTTCCTTGTCTTGCTTTTTGTCACGAAGTAAAAAATTTTATGCAGATTAATAACAAAAGTGAAATTGTATTTTTACGCAATTTGATATTGCATATCCGAGGGATTTAAGTGTTGGAGATGCATAATTAGAACCAAGGCTCATGTTTTCTTGTTAGATACTATAATAAGACTATTCCATGGCCTTCACTTAACTGCATAAACTTCTATTTGATGTATTTATTGACCTTTATGAACTCCAATTAATTGAGGATATTAGAAAGCACGGAAATTTATGATGTAATGAGTGAGAATGCTCTAATTCAGTGAGTTCAATTCAGCTATTTGAGGGGCGCAGTAGTGGTGAAGACAATGGATTTAAATGATAACCAAATATCGTGCATTTGCAAGTAGGTTGGTAGATAGTACTCATACTTCTTGGAGCACATTAACTTTTAACAACTGCAGAATGGCATCCTCCATTGCTGCATAGAATAGTGGTAATGTTATGATTAATATTATGAAGAGCTGCAATACATGTTATAGCAGTTCTATCTTCCTGAGCTGCTATAAGGTGAACTAGTGGCAAAAAGTATGCAATAGATTGTACGTGATATTGTGAGGTAGACCTTTTATTGATGTTGAGACTTAATTATATGCTCTGGTCCTTCCAGGTTCTTTTGGGCATTTTCAAGCTAGCAAATCTGGAGTCCAGAAAGGACAATTGCATAAACCACTTGTCAAGGGTGGTTTTGTTGCTACACGGATTTCTGTGAGATATCACTTTATTTTTTCAAACTTCATTTTGCAAATTTATAGGTCATGTCTAAAGTTTTATGGCCGGAGTTTGTGGTAACAAATGTGATGGTTTGAATGTTATACTGGCAGCCTGATACAGCTACAACCTTATAGCTCATTGTTTTCACAAACTCAAATTCTGATGAAGCATAGACAGAAATTCCTGTTTTAAGCTCTAAAAATAATTGAAATCTATTGACCTTTAACATCATTCGAGCTAAGATTCTATTGAATTCCCCAGTTCTCTTTATATTTTGTTAAATAGTATGCTACAAAAATGTAATGTGTGAAATAATTTGTAGGGATTATTTGTTTTGGATAAACAAATGATCTCAATACAAATTCTGCATTGACACATGAATTAAATCTTTTTTCTCTGTGCTTATCTCTTTATTTGTTCACATTTTCAGGTAACCACCCTAAATATTGAAATTGTTAGAGCACTGGCCAGAGGTAATAATATGTTGGCTCTTGTAGTAAAAACTGCACAATTACTCTTGCTATATTAATATGATGCTGTGTACTTGTTCTTTTATTCAAGCTTTTCTGCAGAGAGTTGTCATTTTTGTCCAACATAATTCTTTTTGTCTGAGTAGGCAAATGGTTATTAAAAGCCATTTTTGTCTTTCAAACTCTTTGATGATAATGCCATCAATAAATAGAATGATAATAAGTTATTGACACAGAGGATATTGCAACACATCATAAGCCCTGCCTCATTCTTGAGTTTTAGGGATGTATACATAGGAGCATACTAGATTGTTCATTATAATCTCTCCATGCAATGTTTGCTCTTATCTATTTTATTTCCCATTTTCCTTTTTCTTTTTGCTGTATTTGCTTTTGAGAAGAATTCTAATCCATTTCGTGCTTTTAATCATTTTGTGCAGAGGGTATTCCTTCAATTGGAATGTCTCCATTTTCATGTGGATGGCTCACCAGTGAGAGACATGTTAGAAAATCTGAATAAACAGTATACCTTGTCTTGTTAGATCAATTACATATATTGGAAATTGTCACCTATTTTTACCATCTTTTCAGTTAGTGTCTAACTCCTGTCTATGTTTCAATTCAACACTTGCAGATGACCTCAACAGATTTTTCCATGGTAGCTAAAACAGTAGACTCTGGTTTTGTACCAGTAAGATTGGATTCTTTAATCTGTACTGTAATTGAAAGCTTTTGAATGCATTTGTTGTAACATCTGAAGTTTTATAAGTAAGATTAAGATGAGATCATTTTATGGTAATTGGGATTTACCATGTAAATTATTTGAGTAAGGAGAATTTACCTAAAATGGGATTAAATTTTAAGGACTTAATCCCAAGCCATATTTAAAAGGGAAAATAATGTGGTTTAGTAGGGATAAATAAAGATAAGTAAAATAATTTCTCACTTAAAAGATTTTTATTATTTAAATATTATCAAAGATGATTTAAATACTCTTAAGACCAAGATATGGGTTATGAGCTAGTAGAAATTTCATAAATTAGATTAAAAGTATACTGTTTATTCAGATTTTCATCCTAATGTTACTTAAATCCTAAGAATAAAGATTAGGATGTTACACCTGTAACTCTCCCTCTTTCTACTTGACAATTTTTCTTTTTTTTTAATTTTTGGTTTTTTTATCTTCTCTTTGTCATTCTTCTTCTTCTTGTTTTTTTTTTTTTTGGTAATAAAAGGCCAAATGACATTAATAACAAAAGATAAAGTTCATCATAAAGGTAATGTCAAAGGAAAGTAGGAAACAAAGAAAAAAAAAAAAGTCAGCAGTTTCAAATGAGGAAGAATTAACTACCACGTCAAAACTAGTAAATGAAGAGAGAAAGGCCAAAATATCCTCCAAGACAACATTTCCTGTGGCTATCCTTTGATTAGCCACTTGAGCCAATTGTTTAATTGACACCAAGAGTTTTAGTTATGTTGTCCTAGGAGAAAAGAGAGAGGATTTAATTATCCAAGAAAGAGTGGAACGAAGACACTTATAATTGAATAGATGATCCTTTTTTGTCTTCGGAACCCATCGGAAATATTGGAGAGGCTGACCCTAAAAACACACCCAAGAATGACAAAGAACACACTTCTTGCTTCTTGCTGCTCTTTGTCATTCTATTCTAGGAGAAAGCCATTTTAGACATTAGCAGCAACATTAAAATGCTTCTTCAATGTTTGAAGAGCATGAAATGTCAGACATGACTGTCAATGGATAAGAAGAAAACTTGTCATCCTTTCAAAATAAAGTTTCCTGAAGTTAATGAGATAAAATAGATCACACACATCTGGTTTCTTCGTTTCACCTCTTTAAGGGTTCCGGTTTCTGTAATGGTTTTCTCATTTGTCTCAGTATTTTCGGTAATGATTTGGGGCACTTGCTGATTTGTTCAGGTTTTGCATGGAGATGCAGTGCTTGATGAGATTCAGGTACAGACTTAAATTTCAGTGCAACCGTAAACCAACAATGCAATTTGAAGTTTTCATAGTATGTTTCAGGGGTGCACTATTTTGAGTGGAGATGTCATCATAAGTCATCTGGCAGCACATGCAAAGCCAGAATTTGTTGTTTTTCTTGTATCCATCTTATATACATTTATGAATGGCTCTTGATATAATACTCTTTCTCCGCATGCCAAACCAAATGGTTTTATGATGATACTCCTAATGGTCTAGGACATATCCTGATTTTTTTCCCCTTCTCTTTTACTCTCGTCACATTTTCAATACTCTGAGTTGTCCAGCCCTATGGCTAATTTATCATCTGATAAGGAAAGATTGGTTTCCCAAAATATTTAAGTATAGTGAGACACTAACAATTTAAAGCCTATCTCGATATTTCACATCTTTAATTTGAGAGGACATTCCATAAATGTTTTCCATTAAGCAATGATGAAAGACTGATGTCTATGGGGTGTATGACCGTCCACCAACAGAACCTGATGCAGTACTCCTAAAGGAGATAGGTGAGCACTAGATCTTCTGAATGGCCTTGTCTCCTTCATGGTTGGTGTAAAGTGAAAAGTGTATTAGTAAAAGCTTTTCCAACTATGGCAGCTGTTGATGAAGACGGAAGCTGGTCTGTTGTGAAACCAAAGCTACAGAACTCAAGTAAGCGGATTTAGTATTTTGTGATTCTATTATCTTTTTTTTTCTCTGTGCTTTGCAGCTTCTTGACTAATGAAGGTCAAATATGCCTGGCAGTTACCAGGTGTCTTATTTTTTGGCTGGGCATAGCATATACTAAAATTATCATTACTTCAACATTTGTTTTTAAGCACGAGCACTTCCAAGATATTTCTTAAACTTTAGATGTTCTACTCTGATACTCCCTATTTTCATCACATTCAAAAGGGGGAGGGGCCTAGAAAAGCTGCAAGACATGTCTTAGGACAAGATTTAGAGCAGTTACTTTGGCTTTTGCTATCAGATTCTTCCTGGAAAAGAAAACGTGTAACCTTTTTCCTGACCTCAGGAGCGCATTGTCGACCTTTTCAAACAAGTTCATCTGCCTTCTATCATTTTACGAAAAGAACCAACTAGCAGAAACTTAAGAATTTAAATCCAAATCTTTGCTTATGTTTTACATCATATGCTGAATTAACAGAGCCCTTTATACGACTCAGTAGCATGATTTTCTAGCTGAAGTTCCACATTAAGATGCAAGATAATTTTATTTCACTCGTAACACAATATAAGAAGGAAAACTCAAATACTTTACACAGCAAAATATCCTCTTTAGTTTTTTTGTTTTTTACATTTGGCTAGTAAGACATTTTCTTCTATGGGCTTTATCGTGTTGCCTGCAGTTGAGCTAACAGTCGCAGCTCATGACACGACCGGTGGGATGGCGGCAAAGATATCAGAAGCTGCAATGATAGCAAAACTTGGAATTGATGTCTACATAGTCAAGGTAATAAAGTTCAACATTATATTTTGCTTTTAGTTCATCTGATTTTCCTGGGGCTCCTAATCTTTGAAATCTCTATCTTCTTCTCAGGCAGCAACAAGCCACTCATTGCGGGCCTTAAATGGAGATCTTAGAAGCAATATTCCAGACGACTGGCTCGGCACAGTGGTCTGGTCTCTCAAATAGTACTGCCATTTCCATCATCTTATGCATATTTTTAAAAGCACACCTTTTGTTCTCAATCACTTATGGTAAGTATATTGGTGAACCAAAAAAATTTATTCAAAGTTCTGTCATTTTTATCTTGTTAAATTTGTAATTAGCACAATTTCTTCACATGTCATGAAGATTCAAACAGAGCTTTATTTTGGCTATCGAGGACTATAACACTACTCTCCTCTTTTATCCTGTTAAATTTGTTAATGCTTAGTATAATGATGCAAGATGAAAGAATATTTCTAGGGAATCAATGTGATCTTCTCTCATAAGAAATGATTATGATGTTATAATTTTACGGGAAAAATTTTATAGTTAATGGTTAAACACCTGTCCTTTGCAGATATGCATGAGGTTTCCAGGCACTTCTCACAGATTCCGGTCATATTGCAGTGATATTCTGCATCTGATAAAGTTTTCTAACTATTCAACTGAACGTGGTTATTTAATTTTTTCCAGTTTTATTACACCCAGAGAATATTATTTGATGCTATTGGCTCGAGCGGCATTTTATTTTGGATTAAAGTACATATTTGTCTGGAAATTTACACTCAAGAACGCTGGTGCCCAAAGTTATTTTGGGTTAAGATGCAATTTATTTCGAAAATTTTGCACTTAGGAATAGAGCTGGGAATCAGGGCCGGCCCTTCAGGGCTAGCGGGCTTAAAAGGGCCGGCCCTCCAGGGCTAAAATTTAAAAAATACCCCAATTTGCTAGGCCCGGCCCTTAAGCTACAGGGCCAGGGCTGGCTCGCGAGCTTTTGGCCCGTTTAAAAAAAATACTATTTTTTATATTTATCATATTTTTTTTATAAAAATATAAAAATAAACCAATGAAATTTTTAATAAAAGACATAAATATGAATAAAATTAAGTCACAAATATAAAATATCATCATATATAAATATTCATTAACATTTAAGAACATCTAAACATTCATTAACAAGATAACAACATCTAAAAGTTTTATCTATAATGCAATTGTGCAATAAATAAACACTATCATTAATCTTTTGAAACTTCATCATCACTATAATTAATTACTTTTCTTCATAAGTATGCTTTTCTTTCGCAACAAAAATATCAAGTTTTTCTTTTTTATAAGAATTTTATTTTTAAATTTTGCAATCTAACTATTATTTTACTTTAATGTGAGAAACATTGTTGTTGAAACTCATGAATTTTTAATTCAAATTATAGAATCACAAGTTATATAAGTATAAAAATATTCTATTATCAAATATATATATAGTTTAAAAATAGGAAAAAAGACAGAAAAATGCACTTCCAACTCCAAAAGCCCAGAAACGTCCGCCCAATTCCACAAATCCCATTTTGGTACCATGAGACCAAATTGGGATTATTATGTGAAAAGAAAAGACCACATTGCCCTTCATTTTAAATATTATTTTTAAAATATCACAGCCCCTACTGGCTGGCTGGTCACCGGACCTTCGGCAGCGGCGGTCACCGGAGCTCCGGCGACCAGCCGACAATTGGTCACCGGAGCTTCGGCGGTCGGAACTTTTTTTTTTGAAAATTTTTACAACTTCAATATAACGGTTAACAACTTTTGTAATGCTATAACCAACTTCAATATAGTAATTAACAACAGCTTTTCTGGAAAATTCAACAAACTCTGGCGACCGGAAACAATTATTTTGAAAATTTTTACAACTTCAATATAACCGTTAACAACTTTTGTAATGCCATTCACAACTTCAATATAGCAATTAACAACAGCTTTTCTGGGAAATTCAACAAACTCCAGCGACTGGAAACAATTTTTTTGAAAATTTTTACAACTTCAGTATAGCGGTTAACAACTTTTGTAATCCTATTAACAACTTCAGTATAGCGGTTAACAACAACAAACTCAGGCGACCGGAAACAATTTTTTTGAAAATTTTTACAACTTCAATATAACGGTTAACAACTTTTGTAAGCCTATTAACAACTTCAGTATAGTGGTTAACAACAGGTTTTTGAGTTTGTTAAAGGCATTACTGAAGTTATAAAAAAGCCACTTTTTGAATTTTTCGAAAAACTTGTTGTTAACTGCTATATCAAAATTGTTAACCGTTATATTGGAGTTGTAAAAATTTTCAAAAAAACGTAATTGTTAATGTTATACTGAAGTTGAAAATTTTTACAACTCCAATATAACGGTTAACAACTTTTATAATGCTATTAACAACTTCAATATAGCAATTAACAACAAGTTTTCTAGGAAATTCAACAAACTCCAGCGACCGAAAATAATTTTTTTGAAAATTTTTACAACTTCAATATAGCGGTTAACAACTTTTGTAACCCTATTAATAACTTCAGTATAGCGGTTAACAACAGGTTTTTGAGTTTGTTAAAGGCATTACTGAAGTTATAAAAATGTCACTTTTTGAATTTAAAAACTTGTTGTTAACTACTATATCAAAGTTGTTAACCGTTATATTGGAGTTGTAAAAATTTTCAAAATAATTGTTTCCGGTCGCCGGAGTTTGTTGAATTTTCCAGAAAAGCTGTTGTTAATTGCTATACTGAAGTTGTTAATAGCATTACAAAAGTTGTTAACCGTTATATTGAAGTTGTAAAAATTTTCAAAAAAAAAAAAAGTTCCGACTGCCGGAGCTCCGGTGACCAATTGTCGGCTGGTCGTCGGAGCTCCGGTGACCGCCGCTGCCGGAGGTCCAGTGACCGGCCGGCCAGTAGGGCTGTGATATTTTAAAAATAATATTTAAAATGAAGGGCAATGTGGTCTTTTCCTTTCACATAATAATTCCAATTTGGTCTCATGGTACCAAAATGGGATTTGTGGAATTGGGCGGACGTTTCTGGGCTTTTGGAGTTGGAGGTGCATTTTTCTGTCTTTTTCCCTTAAAAATATCAACGCAGATAATATAAATCAAATCATTATTAAAGTCCAAATTAACCCATTTTTTAAAAATTTAATTAGATAAATTATTGTTTAAAACTAAATTTAATTTTAAAATGATAATAATAACTAAATATTTGAAATATTATTAACAATGTAAAAAATTAATAACATTAATATTATATAAAAAAATTTAAAAAATAAAAAAATTATAAAAGGACTTAAAAGGGCTAACCCGCAGCCCTCCAGGGTTGGCCCTTTTAAACCCTCGGCCCTCCAGGGCTTATTTATCATTTTAAGAGAAAAATATCAAACCCGGCCCTCATAATTTCAGGGCCTAAACGGGCCGGCCCGATGGGCTCGGCCCGTTTTCCCGGCTCTACTTAGGAACACAGGCACCCAAAAGTTCTTTTTTCAAGCAGTTTAAAATCATAGTAATATTATCCCTACCGTTAAAAAACTAATGTTAACTGTTAAAATAGTAATGTTGATTGTTAACATTTTTAATGGTGGGGGTGAAAATGTTAACAGTTAATGATATTATTTTAACAGTTAATGTTAGTTTTTTAATAGTATGGGGTAAAATTGTTGCAATTTTAAATTTTCCAAGCAAATTTATACACACAATTTTTTTTTAGGCATCTAGTACTTTTGAGTAAGCGTTTAAGGCAAATTGGCTCCTTAACTCTTATTTTCCAGCTTCTTTCAAAATTTTTTTTATGAAAATTATCTTGTGATTAAATACATTAAATTATATGTTTAAAATAAATTGAAAAAAAAAATCTAAAATCTAGTTAACAATGAAAACTAATTCATTATCCATAAATAGCATGGCTACCATCACTTTTTATATACTATTACAAAGAAAATGCCCTCAGTTTGTGTTATAAAAATTAGGGAAAACTAGTTTTAATTTAGAGGTCCTCATAATTTCACCTAATTTTGAATAAGGCCCAAAGCCCCAAAGCCACATCGTTTCAATTTTATTTTTATGTTTATTTTTTATAACTTATTTTACTATAGCAAACATATCAACATGCAGAGAGGATATTTTTATTTTTGGTCGTTTAGTAGTTGGAGATATCAATCATTGGTGCACTCCAGCTTCTTATAGACTAGTTATTCGTGGCCCTGGTGCTGAAGAGAGAAAGGGACAAGTCATTTACACTTGTTTCTTCGTATCCACAAAAAAAACAAAAAATCACACGTTCCTCCTAATAAAGATTTGACATTATGTTGGCTATCGAGTAGCCCTGTTGCTTTACTTGGACTTGAGACTGGTTGTAAAACATAAGTAAATGCTAGGAAAAATTGTAATTAGGTCACATCTAAGGGATTAAATACAAAAAAGTATCTTAAAATATCAAATTATTTTGAAGTCTCAAAGGATCTCATTATAATAAATTTTATTTGTTTAATTATCAAATTGTTCTTCTTTTTTTCCTTAAGTTTGCATTGACAACTGAAAGAGCAATCGTTGATAACTTAAGATGCAAGGATTGACAACTATCGTGGCAGATATTGACAACACATTTTCTCAGTATATCACAAATTGTAATGCATGAGTTATTAATATTTAACATGATAATTGTCAATCCTTACACCTTAAGTTGTCAATGATTACTCTTTCAATTGTCAATGCAAACTTTTTAAAAAAAGAAGAAGACAATTTGATAATTAAACAAATGAATTCTCTTGCAATAAGGTCCCTTGGAACTTCAGAATAACTTAATGATTTTAAAAGACTTTTTTGTATTTAATTTTCTTAGATGGGACTATGTTGCAACTATTGGACACTTCAATGAAGAAGATAAATAAATATGAGGTCTTTTGAAAACGAGAAGTAGAAAAAAAAAACTACTTAATAAAATAATAAAACATGTAATTTATTTACAAATTGAATTGTTGATAAAATACAATGAGGTTATATGGTTTATAAAGTTAATTCCACTTAAGGCTTCTTGTTACTCATTTTCATATTTTGCATGTGACTACTAACTGGTGTTGTCATTTTGGAATGTTGGGGTCCGCGATACATAAAGACGAATCATTTACAAGATTTATCATCATTCATCATTGGCCTTAACAAGAATATTTTTTTTTTTGGACCGACACCTTGACAAAGATTTATCGTCTAGTGATATTGGCTATGTTATCTGTTACTACCTCCGCTAATGTGAATTACATTATAAAAAGAATTTGATAAGTATTTTGTTTTTTGGGTACAAAAAATATAGCCATAGTAAGGCCACGCTTACCCATGTGTTTGTCTTGGTCCCGTTCCGGTAAAGACATATTCTCCCCAAAACACGCACTTGGCGTAAATCTTACAGGATACCATAAAATTTCAAGAAATACAATTAGATAAAATTGGCAGGCCTGCTTTCCCTACATAATACATAACGCTTCTTTCAATCCTAAGATATACCTAATCAATTTATCACAGTTAACAAAATAACTAAATTTGTTATTTGTCAAATAATATATAGAATACCTGCTCCTTTTTCTAAAATATCTCTTTTTTAATGACTATTGAATGTATAGACAAAAAGAGTAAAAATTTGTAAAAGAGAATAATGTGAAGATAAAAACATTAAATGAAAAAAAAAAAAAATATTGAGGTCCTATTCTTAGAAACAAAACAAAACCTAAATAAGGATTGCATTTAAAATT